AGTCTTTTAATGAAATACATTTCTATGGAAATGCTTTTGATAAATCTTTATCATATTATTGTTTTGGGACAAATTCCGCAACCCTTTTATTAAAAGATAACTCTGATTTTGAAATAAAGTATAAACAAAACCGGTCTTTTCTGGCCGTGATTTTGGGGATGTCACATCTTCCACCTGGTCATTCTGACCAGCATCACTTGTATCATCCGAAAAATACAACCAATTTAATTTTTTTTAAAATAACCCAATTTTCATTAAATTGTTTACAAAAAGGTTTTCAATACAAATCATTTAGAGTATTCCCAGAATCACATTGCTACAAAATCATGAGGAGCGGTACGATCGTGCCTTCGCCTTGCCACAGTCTCCTGAAGAACCTGAAAAACATTAAACCACAACTGTAAGCCCGAAAGCTTAGTGAGATACCCCCAAAATACCAACCACGTATACGCCCTTCCAGGCTACGACCTTCCGGTCCAAAACATATAAAACATACATAACATAACAGAACATAGAACAACCATGCATATCGGGTCTACTGTGTGACTGGTCCACCGTATCGGGCCTTCAGTCCATCGGATCCATCCTCCAGGTCTAGTCATGTCCTTCGAGTCTACAGTGGGGTTGGTCCACCCGCATCGGGCGTTCAACCCACCTGGTCCACTCTCTGAGTCTACAGCTGACTGGTCCGCCCGCATCGGGCCTTCAGTCGGCCTGGTCCACTCTCCGAGCCTCGGCACGTCTGGTCCGCCCTCGTGGGGCCTACAGCCTATCCGGACCGCTTGCTGGGCCTTCGGAATAACCGGTCACTGTGAAGATCCTATCTTCACCGATCCATTATTCCCGCTAAATCCAATACGGGTCATCACCGCCAGTAACCACTGACACTCCTCTCTTGTCATAACTTGGTGTCGAGCACTCCTCGACTCGACTAATTGAATTCCACCATAACCCGCTTTCCCGCACTACTACAGACTGGATATTTCTGTCTTTCCGATGAACTGAGACCACTCTGGTCCCTACCAACCTATCAATATCTGGATTACCGGCTCCCACTGGTAGCTAGTCCCAACACCATCAATAGTCGCTCTCAGCGTCTTCCAAAGGAACCTCGACTACCTTTAACTGCTCAAACAATTCTGCCACTTAGGCACTACAAACCTGGGATCCCCGATCCCCTAACTTGACAATAAGGTCCCCACCAGGTCCCACCTGCGCTGCTAAAAACTCACGAGCCTCGCCCACGGGGTCTCACCCGACCATACTACTGAGCAACCCTGCTCCCAGGTCTCATCTACACTGCTAATCTCATAAGGGCCTCACCCACGGGTCTCACCCAACTATATCCTGGAGCGGCCTCTCCCAAGGTCTCACCTCGCTAGGGCTATACAGGCAAATCCCTATCATTCACAACCACTACCCATCCTGATCCCCATCTGATCACTAGGATTTAAGGGCCTCGCCCCAACTCCGCTAACGAGGCGACCAAGGAATGCTACGGCTTACCCATAGCCTGACAATACTTCCATCTATGACTACTAACACGAAAACATCTCCTGCAATTTGACCTCAAGATCTCCATTCCGTCTTACACGAGTTCTACATGCGGCCCTTTAACCTGAATCCGAACCACATACCCACCATTACCCTTAAACCCACGCATTGATGGGAAGTTCTCAAACTCCTAACTCTAAACTTCTAAACGCTGAACTACTCCCTTTCCTTCTCAGAAATCATATACCCGATCTGGATTTGCGTGCCCTTACCCTATACACTCGGAGGATTCTCCCCCACTTCGATCCTGCTCACGCCTCGATGCTTAATGAAGAGAAGTCCCAATCCTTGCTACCACAATCAATCCGCTGAGGAATCCCAAGCTTACCATAGCTAAGGATCTAACCTGTCCATTCTAAAACTTATACGGCTCCGAACTAGTAAGACATACCGAGTCTCTCCAAGGCATGCTACAGATACTGCACTCAAAGTAACCTTCTTCGATACAACGCACCCCTTAACTTCTAACCCAAATATCTAAGGTATGCAAATGGCATATAACTCGATCGAAGTCAACCCGCTCAAAAATAAAATACTCGTACAGATAATGATGCAGAACCATAACAATATAATCATGCACAAAATAAAAGAACTGAAAACGGAAGTCGCATACCTGCAACGTCCGGCGCTGCTCGCATCTCCAAAGTAGCCATCTGAAAAGCCCTGCCTCCTACTGCAGGCGCCTCCGCACGGCCCTGACGGCCTCTGTGATCCTCAAAGTTGCAAGGGCAGGTGCCATCACCCGTCCTACTGAAAGCAAACTGGGGCACTGGGCCTTCTTGTGGCCCCGCTGATTGCAGTGAAAACATATCAAGTCTGATCCCTGATTGATGGTAGCAGTACAATCTCTGCTAAAATGACCAGTCCGACCGCACCTGAAACAGCCAGACTCACCACCACTACCACTCCTGCACGCACCCCCGTGCGTCCTACCACACCTTCCGCATCGACTGCGGTCCTGATAATCCCTCGATCTCGAATCCGACCCTTGGGCCTTTTGCCCAACTTGTGGCTACCTGAACCTCATCCGGCTTCCTCTTCCGGATCTGCTCCAAATCAATTTCCCTCTCCCTGGCCCGAGAAATCATATCCTCCAGCGTCTTACAACCAGACGTGCTCACGAACTCCCTGATGTCATCCCTCAGCATCTCGTGATATCGTGTCTTCTTCATCTCCTCATCCGCGACATACTGCAGAACAAGAAGGGCTCTCTCCCTGAACTTTGCGGTGATCTCCGCCACCGTCTCAGTAGTCTGCATCAAATCCTAAAACTCCCGGGCCAACTACTGCACCTCAATAATCGGCAAAAATTCCGCTCTAAACCACGCTGAGAAATCACTACAAGTCATCGCGTCCAACGCGGCATCATCACCCAGAGCGTGACCAATTTTCTCCCACCAATCCCTCGCTTTGTCCTTCAGAAGACAGGAAGCGAGTCTGACCTTGTCCTCCTCAGGACACCGGCTCGTACGGAATGTGTTGGCAACATCAGCCAACCATCTGCTGCTAGCGATAGGGTCCCTAGCCCCATGATAATCTGGTGCCCCGCAAGCCCTGAACTCCCAAAATGTCAAGGTACGCGCTGCCAACAAAGCCATCATCTCAGTACGGAAGGCACCCAGCCTCTCATCCAAAATCTCCAATATACCCTCCTTGACCATGCCAAAGATCACAGGAGTCTGAGCTAGAATACTGCGCGTAACCTCCGTTGATATCAACTCCCTCATCCGCTCCTCAAGCTGCTCGGCTCCTAAACCCGAGCCCAATCCCTCTCCGATGCCTGATCCGCCCGTTGGGCCCTCTTGCAATGTCACCATACTGAAACATACAACATAACCACTATCAGAATAGTCCTCACTGCAGCGAGACCAAACATACTCACTACCAGGTTCCCGGTCTTGTCTCGGCCTTTCCTGAATCGAGTACGGATCCTATGCTTTCAGTAGTACGGGCCCATACTACCTTCTACATCTATCCGTACTTTCCTCAGGAACTGCTTTAACTCCACTAGGTCCCTTTTCTACTTCTACTGCTCCCAGCACTACCTCATCCTAGGCTTACCCTAGGGAAACCTTTGACTCAACTCAAACCAGTCCTCAGCTGCTGAAGGCCTCTTCGCAATGCCAATTAGCCATCACCTGGATACCATCACATGTGACGAGGCTCAGATAATCCTTCAAGTAAAAGACTCGTTCCTACAACGGTTGGACTCAAACAAGAGCTGCGCAATAGGACCAAATCCAACTCTCTGAGATTATTCAACCCTGATCACATGTGATGTGATGTATCCACCTAATGGCTAACTCCCATCACTTAGAATCCCACAATGCACAAAGCAAGCAGCATTCAGACAAGGGGAAAATCTAACCATAACATACTCAAGCAATCATATCCACATAGCAAGAATCTGAACTAGCATGCAACACAACTCATAAACTCAGGCATAACCTAATCAGGCTATCCTACTACTGACTATTCAGCACTATCATGCAGATCAAAAGCACATATAACAGGCAAATAAGGCATCCTCCCTAGATCCTTAGTCCTCATCTATTTTATTTTTACTATATTTTTGCACCAAAAAGTATATCCCTAAACTATTTTATTTTTGTAACTTATATATTATCAAATACATCACTCTACTAATTAGATTTTAACACACACACACACACACACACACACACACATATATATATATATATATATATTCATTACAATAATATTATAAATTATATTATCATAAATAAAGCATTTATATATAATAAATTTGAATTAATTATTTATTTATTATAATTAATTATTTATTTATTATAAATAATTTTTAAATAAATAAGGTTATATTTACAATAAGTACGTCAAGATCACGATCGTATTTGATTACTATATTATATAAAATAATACATGTAGCCGTTATGTCATGTGGTACATGATGTTTTATTAAAATATGGTATCGTGTTTGGAAGATATATTTCAATTATAAGTTTTTATAAATTATATTACCGTGTTTCAAATCTTTAGTAAATATTTGGTTTTTTATATGAATTCAATAAATATATATTAAACTTTATATTTATGATTAACTAATATAAATTAGTATATAACATGATATTAAATATTGCATTTAAATTATAATTAGTAGATAAAAATAAATTTGAAATAAATAAAATAAAAAAGCAAGTGATTAAAATCGACAACTAAAACCTTAATTCCGAGATATGAATAGTATTCCTTCAAATATTGGAGAATATTATTCATATCTCCAAAAATAAAGTAGAGTTTGAGAAAAATAAGAGAAGAAATGAAAGAAAAAATAAAATTTAAGGATAGACTCAAGATGCTCTTATGAGGTTATTTTGATTAAAATTTAAATATATTTTTATAATTCCATATAACATAAATTTATTTATGTGGTTATGAAGAATAAGGATCTCATGCTCCTTTCTATATATAAAACCCGCGTCCATTATTATAATTATTATTATTTTAATTTCTTATAAGATGAAGGTAATTAACTACCCTATTCTCCATGTAGACTTGTAGCACCATCATCTCTATATAACCTCTACTCTTGTGTCACAAAGTTGGACGTACAATTTCCATTTGAAAACAAAACAAAACCGAAAAGATGGAAGATTTAAAGATCTCTGAAACAATACAAAAGGGTGGAGAAAAGTATAGATCGTTCCTCCATGAAGAAGCTAAAAACACCCATTGGAGGCATGGTGCTCCTCCTACCTATGATGCTGTTAACCAACTTTTTGAAGAAGGTCGAACCAAGGTTTGATTTGTTATCATGATCTTTAATTTCATTATTTTTTGATCAAATAGAAGCTTGTATTTGTGTTTCTTGTTTGATTTGAATTTGCATATGTATTAATTTATGAAGGAAATTAGGTTGACATGTCCTTCTCCCATGAAAATCTTAGATTAAACATTTTGTTTGATGGTATTTCTTCTTATTTTCTATATATATACTAAAAGTTATGGTTAAAAAATCACTATTTTTCTTTGTGATTATATTTATAGCTTGGATGATTTTTGTAATTGAATTTTATTTTTGTTGGATCAATCTATATATACAGGACACATATCCTTACTTGTTTGTTTCATGTTCATTGTTCAAGTACGAGTATGACCTTCTTTATGCTTGTAACTTTATGGTTCTCTCTCATATTTATGATATTTATGGAGGTGTCCATGAGTAGTGATTATCATTTACACTTTTCATATGGTTTACTAAAATCGATACACAAAAAAAAGTTTTACGAAAGTTTCTAATTTAAACATGATTAACCAAATAGTCCATCTAGGTATAATATCAAATGTCCCATCTTTAGTTCTAGTGATTTTAGATAATCTTGAACCATTATCATTATGAACAACAAAATGTGTGGTCTGAATTTTCTTTCATATTGAGATAACGAAAACAAATTTGTAGCAAAGAAACACGTTATATATAGTATATGTATTATGCTGTGTAAACGAGGTCACATTAACCAAAATACCTTAAATATTATATATTATGTTTTTGTGTGTGATTATTCTTGCTTATTCCTCATAATGTTTACCATGTTCAAAGAAATATCAAGATGCGATTTTTAGCGTTGTATGTAGGTATGGGAAAAGGGATCACTGGAAGAAATTGTTCAAAACGCAATAAAGTCATGGGAGATGGAGCTTAGCCACAAGATTCGGATAAAAGATTTTAAGACCATTAATCCTGATAAGTTCAAGCTTATTGTCAATGGTAAACTGTCTAAATTCAATTACCATTTCTTAAATAATTCTTTTTTTTTTTTTTAGATTTTGCAATTGAATTATTTTTAAGAATCTACAATGAAGTACGATTATTTTTGCTAAAAGGCAAACACAACTACACAAGGGTGACCTAGGCTTTTACACAATTAATTTCGTAATTATTCTCCAAGGTAGGTTACAGGATAATATTAATTACTAAATCTTTTTATATGTAATAAAATAAGAAATATTTGATTTTCTATATAATATTAAGGTTGATGGATTGAGATCAATCATGAAAAATGTTGCATAAATTAAAATAAGAAATATTTGATTTTCTATATAATATAAGGTTGATGGATTGAGATCAATCATGAAAAATGTTGCATAAATTAAATAATCATGACAAGGACATGTAGATTTTGCTTACACTAACGAAGCAATAATTTTATTACATCTCTTTATAGTTTGAAAACCATACACATTATTTATCAGAATTCTTGACAGGATTCGAGATACGGCATATATCCGATATGAAGATAAACGTATTATGGTTTAGTTTTTTTGACTGATCAACTCATTTATATAGGTCATTTTCTGGGTAAATAGTTTCATGGGTTAACCTATAAATCGGTTTATTTTAACATATTAACAAAACAATATATATATATATATAAAAGAAAATAAGGACTAATATATTTAGATTTCTTTTTCAATAACCCATGAACCTGCAAACTCATATAATTAAACGGATTATACTAATCGATGAGGTTAGGATTAAGAAAAATAAATAATTTATATAAATCGTGTTATGATTAATCTTTTATGACCTCCTAACCCGAAGAGATTGATGTTCCTAATTATTTGTCCATACACCAACAAAAACATATTATTAAATACTTAAGAATTGAGTTGAATTTTTTATTTATTATAAAACTAAAAATTACTATGCCACAAGGTTGACGTTTTTTGGTAGTATACGTTATTTTTAATTTGTATTTAGTCTATAAAATCCATAAAAATTATTATTTTTTAATTGTTCAAACATTCTTTTATCAAATTACATTAAAAATTTAATAATAAGTCAAAGTCATACAAAATTGGTCAAAGCAGGGAGGGAGGGATTGTCTGCGGAGGAAACACTGAAGGTGGGAAGTTACAATGCATTGCTGAAGAGTACACTTCCAGAAGAGTACAAGTACTACAAAGCAGAAGAAGAAACCTTCGAATCCTCTCATGACGTTTTCCGATCAGCGTTTCCTCGTGGATTTGCGTGGGAGGTGATCAGCGTTCATTCCGGACCTCCGGTGATATCGTACAAATTCCGGCACTGGGGTTACTTTGAAGGTCCGTTCAAAGGCCATAAACCTACGGGCGAAATGGTTGATTTCTATGGCATGGGCATCCTCAAGGTAACTCTTCGTTTCTCCGACTGAAATAAGTATAATTTCCAATGTATAAACTAAAATTCGATTTGCTTTTTGGATGAAATTGGAAGGTTGATGAATCGTTGAGAGCAGAAGATGTTGAGATCTATTACGATCCGGCAGATCTTATCTCGAAGCTGCTTAAGGGGGAGTTGATATCTCAGGAGGAAAGCGCCGCCGCGGATGCTCCTCCGGCGAACACCGGTAACTGTCCATTCGAGAAGCAAGTATGATCCATTGAGATCTGTTCATTCAATCTCGTTCTGTTAATGTCTGTGATCTTCTAGTGTGCGTCTTTAATTTTAGTATTGGCCAATTGAGAATCAAACTTGAAAGAGTTCGATCAAATGATTCCAATCTGTGTGTAAAGATAATAACCAAATCACCATGCATTTGTGTATCTTTTAACTTTTTTTTCATGAATCAAATGTGCTCAAAGTTATGTTTTAGTACATAGTCTCTTAAACTATATTTATTTATTACAAAAGAAAATAATATTATTGTAACAATATAGTTTATGTATGGTATATATTAGTAAAACACAACTTACTATATGCTAATAATTGGAAAAACGTTATATTAATTTTGTGCTTATTGAAATATTTGTTTATTGAAACATTAAAGAAAATATATCATTATTGTAAGGGTAAACTACACCAATGGTTATTTGTACATGTGTGTGTTTATGCAGATTGATGTTTAAAGGTGGTTGTTGGAGGTATTAGATGGTGGTTACCGGAGCTACTTGGTGGTGCCGGATGGGTTCCGTGATATAATGACCACTTAATTTTCTAGAAATTATAAGGGAAAACCTTATAAAAGTTCAATATATTTTTTTATCAAAATCTTAAAAAAAAAAAAAAAAAAAAAAATCTATATTATTTATTGTACGTTAAAACCTTTATATTTTTTAAAATATATCATTTAAGACATCGAGTTCGGCATATCCTAGATAGCCGAAAATGTTAAGTAATCGATTCTCAACATTTTAATTCATTAGATTAAAAAAAATATAAGTGTTTAAATTCACTAAAAATAATATAATTGTTTTTTAATCATTTCATGAAAATATATTAGGTTTTTCTGAGGTCAGAAAACCTTAAATAAGAATTTTCCGAAAATGTAAGGTTTTAGCGCACAAAAAAATAATATAGTAGTTTTTTTAAGCATTTGATGAAAATACTAGGTTTATCTGAAGTTTTCCCAAACTATAATTAATAAAAAATATAAGATAAATTATAAACCTGGAAAATAAATGAAAAATAAAAAGAAAATGACAGGAGAGCCATTTTATGTCTGCGATGGACCTAACGTGCATATTTTAACCAAACGAAAGATGCTCAGAGTTAATTTTTAAGAATATGGATTAAAAATATGTTTTGGCACATACACGATCGAAGATTGGTATAATTTACCCTTATTGTAACAATATAGGTTTAGTACAAAGTTTTGTCTTATATATAAAATAGGATACCGACTAAAAACCCACTATACTTTGTCACATTTTTCGGTTTAACCACCAAATTTTCATTTGTGCTAAAAACCCCACTCATTTTTTGATAAAAATTTTGTCGCAATCACCATGACCTGCATTTATGCTTAAAATTCATCAATTTTCATTTTTTTCTAAAAATCATCCATATATTGGTGATTAAACTGAACTTTCGGAAAAATATAATGGTTTTTTCGTAATTAAAACTGGTTCTAATAAGTAATAGTGGTTGTGCTAAAATATTTTACCAAAATTTGATGGTTTTTTCAGAACTTATTAAAAATTGATGTTAAACTGAACTTTTGGAAAAAAAATATAATGTTTTTTTTTCGTCATTATCTCGTATAACATTTTGTGTTTTTTTGACTTTGAAAGATTTAATATTGTAGATTTTTTGGTAAGCTTCTACAAAGAAAAATGATGTTAGACATTGATTTTGTTTGTTGTCGGTTTCCATCCCATTAGGGCATCCACAAGAGATTTTATATATATCTCCTCCCTTATAGGTTAAAGTCTAAACAAGTTTAGTTTGTAAACTTATAAGCTTAATGGTTGAGGCTTTTCAATAATTATGTACATTTTCAACTATAATCTATATAGACAACAATAAAATTTTAAAAATAAAATTAATGGTTCACATAAATTGATTAGGTGGACAAAGTGGGGGTAAAAAAATAGGATTAGTACCGACAATAACTCCAAGCTCATAATTCCACCTTTGAGCGGGTTTATAACGATGGGTTTATATTAGTAATAAGCGGTTTTACTATTGAAACATCCTTGTAAAGGCTAGTAGAAAAGTTTTTATCTTTTTGAAAAATTATTTAATTTTTTGAAAATCTTAACGCGGAATTTGGTACCAAAATGTTTTAATCATAAATTTTAGTTTAACCGTATACAAGAGTGTTCCATTCAATATCATTACAAAGGGTGTGATGAATCATACATATGGTGACCTTTTAAATGTTTCAATCGCTAAACAAGGTCTTCAACTTCATCTAGGACTACATGTCAAAATAATACTTTAGCACGGGGAGCCTAGTGAGAATGCTAAAATCCGACTATGAAATGGAAATGGGAATGACAATACGAATTCCTAAGTTATGATTCCCAAAAAGATTTTCAAAACCTTTTATAAATATTTACCAATTTCCAATATAATTTTTATCAATATAAAAGTCATGAGCAGATGAAGTTTACATAAATGATGCAATGCACATGCATCTAACTGATTACTGCTCCAAACACTGACTCAACGGGTCACCTGTACAACACGCAGGGACCAAGCTTCAATCTACTACTCAAAATACCCTAAAAGACCTAAAGTCAAACTTGTCAAAGTTAAAGGTCAACCTCCAGCTGGTCGCAATGTCGTGGACATCCTTGGCCACACGATGGCATCGAAACGACAAAACATATGACTCTTTTCGAGTCGTCACACTGTGGCAACCTAAGGCCATGTCGTGGACTCTAGGTTCCTAACATCTTAATGAGTTAAGCCGTTTTTTTCGATTCTAAGGGCTCCAATGCTTAGATTTGGTCCATTCTATGGTTTAAATGGATAAAGTGTCCAACTTTATCCTTTAAGACTTTCCAAGAGATAAAGATCTCAATTTTATGGTCTAGAAAGGGCAAAAACTTAACTTGGCGTAATCAATAAACACTTAATCTTGAAGATCACTTGTCCAACAACTCCAAAAAGGTTTCTACCATCATTACTAACATAAAAATCCATACTTTTCGGACATGCATGTCTTGAACTCCTATTAGGTCAAAATGATGGTTAATGGCCAAAAATCCATGTATGGCACCAAAACTCATTTCTAATTCAGATCCAAAGCACCAAATACTTCAAATGTCCTAGAGATTAATAAAGTTGCAAACTTTATGAGACACCACGCAAACCCATCAACACATGAAGAAAATGGACAAAATCTACAGATTTAGCAACTTAGCGAGGAAAAGGTTGGGTCTTGGACACTCACCAAGGTCCAAAAGATGTGCTAGCTAATGTAGAGGATACTTGTAAGGTAAATTACCACACCAAAGGCTTCCTTCTCCTTCAAAGATAACCAAAAAACACCAAAATAAGTTCACAATTGAAATAGAGGCTAGGGTTAGGGTTTCTGAGCTTGAGAGGGTGACAGAGGTTGAATGATGACGAAACCCTAGCCTTAATGTTCTTTAAATAGGACCCAATTCCCAAGGATTATGGTTTCTCTCAAAAACACCTGCCACACCATGGCACATATGGCCACGCTGTGGCAGGACATTTAATTTTGCGATCCAAAACATTACCATCACGCCGTGGTGAATCTAGACCACGCCATTTTAAAAAAAGTGTGAACGAATTCATCTTTGACAAGATATTTGGAATTTACAATGCAACACAGAAAACAATAATATTTACTTGAATGCAGTGAAGAATTATTTGGTGGGCATAGAGGTTTTTTTTAATCAGCAAATCTAAACGACTCTTAAATTAACATCTAATTTCATCTATGTCAACGAAGGGACTTGAACCCTCAACTTTAAAGAGTGAGGACAACACCTGATACCATTGGATTAAAATCCCTTTAGTGGCCACAGAAATGCCAACCTTTTAAATATATCTCTTTTCAACCCAAGAAATGCATGACGTTCATGCTTAACACCTTTAAACCCTCTACCTCCAACTTGTTCAATGATTAACCTATATGGGGAAATTGTCACAACTCAGGACTTCCTTCCATCAACTAGTTTCTATAATTTACTTTACTTCCCTTAAACCAGCTTTTATTTATTATGTATCTTATTTAAGAAGATTACATGACTTATATTAATACTTAAACTCATTAGTTTCTTACTAAATATGATCATTAGTTATAAAAATTATTTCACATATTTCTAAATGTCACACTATAACATAAACTATCTCTAAATCGATAAAAATCATACGGAGATCCATATTTATTTCTCTAGGTGGATGCAAACCATATGGATATCCATATTTCTTTGTCAATATTTCTCTAAAAGACATCAAATGAGATGGATCACCTCAGTCGTTGAACTTCAAACAGAAAACCGAATTGATATTTTATAACATTCATGATGCTACGCAACATAATCTCTAGTGCTATCTCTTATAGTTTCATAGCATAACTATGTAACTTAATACTTATATAACTCCAAAATAACTATGGGTATCACATTTATTCTTATATATTGGGATCATAGTACTAGAAGATATTGTTAATGCTTCAACCTCAATCATGAATTTACAAAAAATATTTATGTTTAAAAAAAAAAAAAAAAAAAAAAAAAAAAAAAAAAAAAAAAACTTGATCTAAAGGAAAGAAAAAAAAATTAACTAGAAAAAAAAATGAAAACCAATTATTTTAAGAGAGATGATATCATTTGTCAGATGGAAAGAATACAGTATATAAAAAAATAATATATTTTATATAGAATACATAATAAGATTATAATAAAATAATACATTCTACTACACATAAAGAATACAATAAGATTATAGTAATACAAGACCTTAGACCTTTTGTTAGAAAAATGTTAATATACTAAGATTACATTAAGATAATAGGTTGTCAAGATAATACATTGTCGGATACAAAAAATACAATAATATTATAATAAAACATTACGACAAGATATTATATTAGACAGTAAGAATACAATAAATTACTCTAACGTGTTATCGTTTGTCAGATATAATACAATAATATTATAATAAAACTAGATTTTTTCTTGGATAAAATGAATACAAGACATACATTTAATAGAATGATAGAATACAATAAATAAGATTACTAGTAAGACAATACATCTTGTCGAACAAAGAGAAAAGAGTATGTTGACAAGTATATGTTTGACTCAGAATGGTAACATTACATTATACTACTGTCAGTATGATAATATCATATGTTAGACTGAAAAAATGCAATACAATTATAGTAAAATAACACTCAAAATCATAGCTTTATTGTTAATACCCGAAGAATACATGAACTTTCTAAAGGTTACCGACTAAAATCGCAAATGTATCGTGCAATACAATTATAGTAAAATAACACTCAAAATCATAGCTTTATTGTTAATACCCGAAGAATACATGAACTTTCTAAAGGTTACCGACTAAAATCGAAAATGTATCGTGCAATACAATTATAGTAAAATAACACTCAAAATCATAGCTTTATTGTTAATACCCGAAGAATACATGAACTTTCTAAAGGTTACCGACTAAAATCGCAAATGTATCGAGGATTGACGGATTGTTGTCTTTTTATTAAACAATTGACGGCTAAACCCTAAATAATTATCCGGCTAAACCCTAAATTAATAATTATCGGTTCTTTGTCCTATCATTTAAAAAATAAATAAATAATTAAAAATAAGCTCAGAATATAACGAATTTGACTTTTTGGGAGATTCTTTCAATTCATTATAGTGAAAAAAAAATGATAAAATGGAATAATGATGTAATACAATGTGGATATCATGTTTGAACGGTATCAACGTAAGTTATCAAAAATAAATGAATAAATAAATAAACTTGGATGAAATTTTATGAAACGATAAATCAACGGTCGACATCTCAATAAGTATTAAGATATTGTAAGTCAATGATAACAACATCAAAAATTATAGCTTATGTATGATCTTGGAAGCTTGGTTTTGATTAAAGAAATATCTTTCGTATCGTTCAAACAAGCATTTGACTCTACACCCACCCATATGACGATTTAAAGATAATAGTTTCATTATTCAAAACCATATGATATTTATATTTTAAATCGCACAGTTTGAACACAATGGAATCTATGCATTAAGTTTCTTTTAAGAACAATTTTCTATATTTTAGATATCAAAAGGAATCTGAATTTGTTTTTAGCTTTAAAGTTCGTTCTCTCATGACTTAATAAAATTAAATCTATATTTCATAAAGTGAAAGAGAAAAGCAAAATATGAAAACCATATGGTAACCTAAGAAAATTAAATATTTATATCCTTTCATAAAAAACAAATATATGAAAACCATATAATAAATTAAGAAAATTAAATCTATATTATTTCATAAAGTGAAAGAAAAAAAATATGGAAACCATAATAACATAATATTGGATAAGACTTATGTGATTGGGAGTCGAGCGGCTGGAATAGAAAATTCATAAATATAACGTTTAAGGTTCAAAATTCTGTTATGCGTAGAAGTTAAAATATTGCTAAATAATATTCATTTTTTTTTCTAGCAGTAGACATATTTAATATATAAATTAAACATGTTTGGAAATGTTTCATAGATGATAATATAGAAAATAGTATTTAAATACCAAAATAATAGAATGGGTTTGAATTTTTTGTACGTATAAACATTTAAAATTTTTATTATTAAAATCTATTTTTTTTCAATGAAACATTCATTACTATAAATTATAATATCATTGACTATTTCAGTATTTCTTTCGAATAGTCGATCAAATTTTATTAATCAAAACTTGCAAGAAACTAGTTCAACAAAACCACATAATCAGGGCGGAGCTTCAACATTTGTTTTGAAGGCCGGAAATATAATACATATAAAAATCGGTAAACAATGGGGGTCATAACCAAAATTTTATATTTTTTGGTATAATATTTATACAATTAAAATAAAATGACAATTTCTAACCCAAAAAAAAAAATCAGGGGGGCCATAGCCCCCCTTGCCTCTATGAAGCTCCGCCCTTGCACATAACACAAGAATTAAGAGGTGGTTTTCAAACCAAAGAGCTTGAAGCTTAAAGTATGAGTATTGGAAAAATCAATTACATGTTATTAGCTATGTTATTAATAGCAGCGCTATAGTGTTTCGCAGTGATCAAGAACCGTTACTTTCAGTTTAGCGTTTTCGATTTGTGATACTACTATTTACGGTGCTATTTACCACGATAACCATAACCGCTATAGCAGCGCTACAGGCGTTTTTTCATTTTCATTCACATTTTTGTTGCTTTGTCAATGAAAAAACTAGTTTTATTGAGGCCACTACACTTGCATTTTGAAAAATCTGAATAACTAACCTAATTTAAAGCATTCAAAGAAACATCTACTGACAACTCTCTTTCTCATTTCTTTCTATACTCACGACAACTTAAGCTGATATAATCGGACTCCATTAATTCTTTTTGTAAATCGACTCACACCTGTGAGGCTGCGACTTAGGACTTAACTCCTTAAATCAACCACAACGAGTTGAGCAATTAAGCAACAGCTTGATGTAATGTTTCCTTTAATCATTTCCTTTCTAGGCACACACAATACAACAAACAATTACACAGACTTCGATCTACTCAACCTGAAGTGAATTTGTGATTGTCAAATGTTTCAATCATTCACTGCGAATCTACATTAAATGTTAAATATGATGGTTCATATGAATTATGATCTTCGTCACTTAATCTGTTAGGAAATATAAACATTTTGATAAGTTAATCTTTTAGGAAATAAGAACATTAAGCTGTTAATTTGTGTCCACTGCCCATTTATGTTTGTGTACTCGGATACTATGCTATAATTAGATGTAATCTGATTGTGAAACACGTTTCATCAATAGTGAATTGACAAATATGGAAAGGATTTCTTCACACGCTTCTGTGAATCTAGCCACCACCACTCCTATTAATACAATATCAAACGCAATGCAGTTGAATTCTATTTGACACTTTGATACTAACTAGTTTTCATGTTACTATAACAGAATATTATGTTATGTTTTTATATGACTTTTTTGGCTTGATGATATTAATTCTATATAGACTTATAATATTAATACTCAAATATATAAATTCTATATAAATATAATATAAAATTATAAACAATACACAATATTAAAAAAACCACTATAACACCACAATTTCATGCATGTACATACATTTGAACTGCATTATATTGACACAACAACAAAGCAATTGTTTAATTTAATATGTATATAAACTGTGATTCAATTTCAATATAACTTTCAAATTATCCAAAAAAAAAAAAAAATCACTAGCTATATAAAATATAAAGCTCAAATGCAAGCACCATTCACACTAATTTCATGTCATTATATAAACAATGACATTTTCCTAACGTTGTCAAGATATATTAATGAATGCTTTAAATACAACATACAAACTCAACCCTACCACAAAAACTAATTAACATTGCTCCAATTTCATTTTTTTTAAAATTTTTTTTAATTATTATATTTCAGATTCAATACCTTGACGACTTTCATCAACAAGAGCCACTGTCAACATTTCTGTGCAAAACTGATCATCCGGGTTAATCCATAATGCCTTGTGATAATACGTAATTGCATCCGTATAATTACCCTTGAAAAAAATTAAGTCAATTAAAATATTCATATATAGTTTTTACTAGATTAAAAAATCATGTCAATTAAATAAATAAATAAATACCCTCAGATGGTATGTGTATGCTAAACCAGCATACGTGCTTAAGCTTCTTGTAGATAGTGCAAGGGCCTTTTCGTAATATGTAATTGCTTCACTATACAACCTGATATTTAAAAAAATAATAATAATAATAAACTAAACACAATAATAAGTTTTTATAAATTGTAAAGATTATGAAAATATATGAAATGTTAACTTACTTGAGTTTTCTTAAAGTATGAGCAAGATTAACCACAGTTGATTCCCACATTTCACTTAATGGTGATGGTATATGAGCCAAAGTCTTTTTAAACCACCATTCCGCCTTTTTATACCTATAAATTTTACCCAAGGGCAAAATCGTCATTTTAAAAAAAAAAAAGTAACAGTCGACGAAATTTGAAACGAAACCTCACCATAAGGATCTTTTTTAGACAAAACACTCATTTTTGGAGTGTAGGTAGAAAAAGTAACATACCACATACACCAAAGGGCAAAATGGTCATTTTTTTTATTTACTGAAACAAAGAAAGAAGTAAAAAGAATGCGTACTCTTTCATATGATAAGCAACAACTCCAAGCTCATTATACACAAGTGGATCCGAAGGACATATTGCCTTTGCTTGCATGAAAAACTATACACAACCAAAAAAAAATTAGAAAAGGGTATTTTAGACATTTTGTTAAGAATGTGAAATAGCAATTAGCACCTGATCAGCGAGTTTGAAGCTGTGGGTTCGCATGTACTCCATTCCAATATATAAAGTAGGTAAATGACACCTAAAGATTAAAAACACATAATTTAATCACACTACACTTTGATAATATTATATTTTTTTTTTTCAATTTAAAAAAAAAAAAAAAAAGATAAATTACCCAGGAAATAAACGCGCAGCAGTTCGATAACCAGACATAGCTTGATCACCTTCTTCTTTGGCTGCATAAGCATTCCCATATCCGATCCAACCAGGGGCAAATGTTCCTTCTAAGCTAGTTGCCTTGCTGTAATATAAATAAATAATCCAATAAAGAAATGTAAATTTAAGTAAAAAGTAAAAAGGTAAAATACTGGGATTTATTTACCTGAAATAACGGCGTGATTGATCATACTTCTTGATACAATAATAGTAACAGCCAACAGCAAACCATGATATCGCCCTTTGGAAACCAAAAAAATTAGAATTTTTTTTTAAAATAAAAAAAATGTTTTTCTTTTTTTTTTTTTAAATATATTTTTTCTAACTTTTGAGGGTAGTCCTTGACTAAGTTGCAAGCCATGAGATAAAGTTCATTTGAATGTCCAAGCTCCATAGCTGCTGCTATATGAACCATTGTGCTTTTAAGATGGAATGGATCCTTTTCAAGTAATCTGAAATCAAAAAATCATTATATAAATATATATAATTAGTCGGATTGTTTATTTAAAAAGGTGAGCTTACACTGAAGTCAATTCAAAGCATTTCTGATATTCGCCACATTGATGATAATATTCAGCTTTACATGCTAAAAGATCTGTGTTGTTTTTTAGTGTACAAGTCAAGGATTGATTTGATGTGTCATCTTTCTCCAGTTCATTGAATTTTTCTTCCACAATACTTGCTTTATCGTACTGAAAATAAATAAAAATGAAAAATATTATATGTTGGAAAGTATAAGATGTTTTGATGAATGTTAAATGGTGTTTTGGATGTATTTAGGTACTTTTTTTATCAGACATGAATAGAATGAAGAAAGCCAGCCATCTTCTTGAGCAAACTGTAGAGATGAAAGAAGACTTTTCTCTGAAATTGAATAAAAAACAAACAATGATATGATGATTGTTTGAGATTTGAAGATAATAATAATAGGGTGTGAGTAGGATGATTCATGATGTTAATATTAATAACCTGAGATTAAGTGCAAATTTACTACCTTCTTCACATGTTAGCATGTGGTTTTCAATAAGACATTCAATTGCCTGAAACAAAAAAAGATTTCAAAATTACATATTGCAAAAGTTTAAAGATATTATTAAACATTGTACATGGTTGTGATTACCTCATAGCATAAAGGATCTGCTCTAATTGCAGCCTTGTACCTATGATATACATAATACACTTGGGAGTTTATAATTTCATATCATATTCTTTAAAACCCAAAAAAGAATTGTGATAATTTGAAGAATTAAACATGAATAAACGTTGTATATGTTGAAGCTAACCATTGTCGAGCTTGAGAGCGATTCTCCAAAGCTTCATAAGCCTTGCCTCTAAGAAAACAAATTGCTGATGATATCTGTTATCAGATTCAGATATGTGTTACTTCAAAGCAAGAAAAGATGATTGTATGAAAAAAGTACATGACTACATGTTGATAGAACTTTAAATCAAGGGTCTTGTTATGTTAACAAAAAAAAAAGGTAACTATTGTGTTGAAAAGGAATTACAATGAACTGATTAAAGTATTGCTGACCAATACATTGAAAAATTTTCATCAATTATTCATCTTCCCATGGCAATGAAAAGGTTTTGTAAACTTCAAAACTGATCAATACATTGATAATGGCTTTACACATTGACACGCTTTAGTAATTTACTTCCTAAACGGCTAAACCCGAATAAATTGAAAGTTACGCACTGAAAAGAAGAGTGAACTTACATTAATTTCTCGATCTTCACTATCTTTATCCAAATACATGACATTAGAATCCTTGGTATCACTGAAATTCCCATGTTCGTCCACCTTAGCTTCTCCAAGCATCAGCAAACACTGATCCCACTCCTTTAGTTCCTCCTGCTCAGACACATTGAATACAATCAAAAGTCAAAACTATTTATTCTTTCTTTAAATGAAAAACTTTTCAACTAATTAACAAATTCAAACACAAAACGCAAAGGAACAATAAACCTAATTGACAGTAAAATAAAAGTATGAAATGGGGCAAAAAGAGGAGACCAACGAGGCATTTGGCCGCCAGATAACGGAAACGAAGATCACGGAGAACAATCTGAGAAGCATTGAGCAGGTGGAAAGCACGGCGGTAATGACGACCGAGAAATAGGGCTTGTGCTTGCATGTAAATATCAGCGGGATCGGAGGTGAAGGCGGCGACCTTGTCGGCGAAGAAGATCGCCGACGAATATAGATGCTTGCTAACGCAATCTCTGACCACACCTCTCAACTTCTCGATGTGTTCTTCCATCATCTTCTCGTGGCCCTTGCTTATCAATTTCAAAATTTTCAAATCTTCAGTGTTTGCTACAGGGAGGGTTTGGGGATGTGAATTGTTTTTTGCAGAATGGAAAATAGCGGGAGGCGAATTTGTTGGTTTTTGGGTATTAGGCCCTTTTATGTATTGGGCCAGTTGGCCCATTTAGAAAACGATTAATCAATAAAGATGATGGTGTTATGTATCAACGATCCAATTTTATTCTCGTATTAAAATAGAGAAAATTCATCAAATGAAGATAGGGGGTGAGTGTTTGAACAATTTAACCATGAAAAATTCAATTTTGTTAAATGACCAAGACTTCCGCCGAGGGGCATCTACGGAAACCTTAACCCTCTAAGGAATCCGACGACACGTGGACAAAAGGACAAAAAAATGGTCGTTGACATCATTGTGCATAAGAGGCCTCTGCAAAAATGGGAATATTTCTACGGAAATGTGAATAGCTCCAAGGAAAAGATAGTTCAAAGACTTTAATTGTTTTTATGACAGTTCCGCAGAGCAGTGTCTGCGGAAATGGTTGGTGTATGTGTTTTAATGATGTTTTTAACCATTTTTAAGTTATTATCCTTTTTTTTTTTTTTTGCTTTTTAGCGACTAGAAACCATTTTTTGCCATTTAGTGACTAGAAATCGTTTTTAACCATTTTCATTGTCTATGTTGAGAGTGTTCTAAAAATGACTTTTATTATTCTGTGTATGAGATGGTTGTGGCAGTCAGTTAATAGAAATGAGGTTTATGTTAGAAATCATATTAAAAACTATTGTTTAAATCTTCCTCATAACAATGACCATCGGATGTTATTACAAATGGTTAGAAATAAGACTAGTGTATTTATATTCATATATATTTGACTTTTAAACACACGAACTGTGAGTATTTGATGGAGCTTGCAGATGAATTAGATGTAGTTCACATGAGACATGTAATGTATGAAACAAAGCAGACAACGTATTTGTATTCATCAGTGATAGGTGAAGAAGTTGAAGACCAACCATCGCACTTGAAAAATGAAAACAGTGGGCATATGTCTATAGATGCTTATAAAATTGAAACGTATCGAAGAGCACACGAGGAGGTCGTGTACCCCTACTAGAACATCGTGATTGGGTGGTTCCTAATGGCCTTATGGTTGTTAACCCTCCTGTAATGAAAATACGTCAAGTGGGTACACCGAAATACACCAACTGTATCCCCTAACAAGGTGAGGAACCGAAAATAAGAAGATGTAGTAGATGCCATAATACAACACATAATGCAAAGACGTGTAAGGAAATTGTCCCAAAGAAGCAAAATAAAAGTAGAAAACGTAGTTGGGCTTCAGGAAGTTGGACGCAAGCGACAAAAGACAAATTGACGCAAGTGACAGAAAACCAATGGAAGCAGGAGTCTTAGGGGCCGATTTTAGCAAGCTAGGGGTTCATTTTATATTTTAGAATTCCTAGGGTTTCAACTTGTAGACCCTAATTCACTTGGGCTTTTAATCCAATAACTCATTAGCCTTTTGGACCAACTCTTCATGGACTCTCACAAAGATTTAGTCCAATCCTAATCAACATGGATCTTTGGCCCAACCCATAAGTATTACTGATTTACCTAATCAGTCATCATAAATTTAATCAGTCTCTTTTGATCAATAAATTAATTCTAAATTAATTATTGATCTATACCAATTAAATAATATGAATTTTCAATTAATATATTATTCTTATAATATATTAATAAATCACAAATAACCATTTTCTCAAATATCCATCTTGTCAACTTGTTATGTGAAGGCAAGCTGAAATGGATCATGCTATTCTCGGGTCAAGTATATACCAATTATAGTTATAGGCTTAGACACCTAATCCAACACTGCTGGAGAAGGGTTTTATTAGACCGAGTAGCTCACCGTGGGGAGCGTCGATCCTTTTTGTCAAGAAGAATGATGGTTCACACCGGATGTGTATCGAGTACCGGGAGTTGAACAAGCTGACGGTCAAGAACCGTTATCCACCACCGAGGATCGACGATTTATTCGATTAGTTGCAGGGGCGTCTTGGTTTTCCAAGCTTGATTTGAGATCTGGGTATCATCAAATGAGAGTCTGCGAGGAGGCTATTCAGAAGACAACTTTTCGAACTCGTTATGGGCATTACGAGTTTGTAGTGATGCCTTTTGGACTCACCAATGCACCTGCAACATTCATTGACCTCATGAACCAATGTGTGTCGGCCCATGTTGGATAGGTCAATGATCATGTTCATCAACGACATTTTGGTGTACTCGAGGTCTAGGGAGCAACATGATGAGCACATGCGGAAGATTCTTGGAGTATTGAGGATGTAGAGGTTTTATGCCAAATTCTCCAAGTGTGATTTCTGGTTACGAGAGGTCCAATTCTTGAGACACCTCGTTAATCATAATGGAATTTTGGTCAACCCGGTCAAGATTGAGGTAATTATGTGATGGGAGGTGTTGAGATCCCCATCCGAGACCAGAAGTTTTCTAGGCCTGGCAGGCTACTATCAGAGGTTTATCAGAGATTTCTCTAAGATTGTCGTTCCTCTCACCAGATTGACTAGGAAGGGTGTTACTTTTGTTTGGGGGTCCGAGCAGCGGTCTTCATTCGAGACTCTTCACCAAAGATTGTGCGAAGCACCAATGTTTGCCCTTCCTGAGGGAGTAGAGGACTTCGTAGTCTACTGTGATGCATCTATATCAGGGATGGGTATCATGTTAATGTAGAAAGGACACGTGATAGCATATTCATCGAGACAGTTGAAGCCTCACGAGACGAGGTATCCCACCCACGATCTGAAGTTGGGGGGCAGTGGTGTTCACCCTTAAGATTTGGCGCCACTATCTTTATGGTGTCCGGTGTACCATATACACAGACCATAAGAGTATGAAGTACCTTATGGATCAGCCCAACCTGAATATGAGACAGAGAAGATGGTTGGACGTAGTGAAAGACTATGACTGTGAGATTTTGTATCACCCTAGCAAGGTTAATATGGTAGCCGATTCCCTGAGTCGTAGAGTAGTGAGTGCTCCGATCTGAGACGTGTGCATGAGGATGATAGTGATGACTCCAGTCTTAGATACCATCTGAGAGGCCCAGGTGGTGGTCGTGAGACCAGATAACCGTAAGAGAAAGTGGATGATTGGGCAGATTTCTGAGTTTGAGACGGATAGTCGGGGGCTTATGACCTTCCATGGGCGGATATGGGTGCCATATACGGGTGGAGCTCGACGTATTTTAATGGAGGAGGCCCATAGTCGAGAGGTGCTTGACCTGTCGTCAGGTTATGGAGGAGCACCAGCATCCTCATGGCCCGTTGCAGGCTTTAGAGATTCCCCTGTGGATGTGGGAATATATTTCCATGGATTTTATTACTAAATTACCAAGGACCACACGGGGTGTTGATGCGATATGGATGATTGTAGATCGGTTGACGAAGAGTGCTCACTTTCTGGCTATCAGTGAGAACTCTTCTGCGGAAAAGTTTATCGAGATTTGCATTCGAGAGGTGGTAGCACGATATAGGGTGACAACATCAATAATTTCATATCGAGATGTGCGTTTTACTTCCAAGTTATGGAAGAAATTTCATGAGGAGTTGGGTACCCGATTATACTTCAGTACAACATATCACCCACAGACAGACGGGTAGAGCGAGTGGACGATTCAGACACCCGAGGACATGCTATGTGCATGTGTTATGAACTTCGGTGGAAGTTGGGACACGTACTTACCCTTGGCTGAGTTTTCATACAACAACAACCATCACTCCATTATCGGTATGCCTCCCTTTGAGCTTTTATACAGGAGGAGGTGTCGAACTCCCATCTGTTGGGGAGAGGTAGGGTAAAGAGTGATGAGGGGCACTGAGATAGTGCTCAGGACGATAGAGTAGATCCAACAGGTCATACAAAGTTTACTGACGGCCCAGAGTCGCCAGAAGAGTTACATAGACCGACGACGTTCAGAGCTAGAGTTTCAGGTCGAAGATTATGTCTCCTGAAGGTATCCCCATGGAAAGGGGTGATCCGATTTAGGAAGCGAGGCAAGCTGGACCCTAGATACATTGGTCCTTTTAGAATGGTCGCCCAAGTGAGTAAGGTAGCTTATCGGTTAGAGCTGCCTGCAGACTTGAGCCAGATTCATAACATCTTCCACGTGTCCTAGTTGAGGAAGTGTGTAGCCGATGAGACCGAAGTGGTCCCTTTAGATGACATTCAAATTGTCGATCGCCTGAACCACATTGAGAAGCGATAGTGATCTTGGATACGAAGGTGAAGGTCTTCAAGAATAAAGAGGTATCCTTGGTTCAGGTTTAGTGGCAGCATCTTAGAGGGCCAGAATGTAGTGGGGGAGAAAAGTCTGATTCTAGTGGGGGAGAATTGTAATATCCCGAGACCAGGTATATCTCAATAGCCCTTAGTTTATTGTAGTTGTCAAGTTTGGCCCTTTATTTGAGAAAAGGTGGTAGTTGAGTACGTCGAGCGTACGCATGTGTACGCTCAACGTACTCATGTGCATGATTTGGACGTGGAAGCCACCTAGTACGATGGGTGTACCAGAGGGTACGCTAGGCGTACTAGGCTCAAAGTGAAAACCCTAATTGTATGGTGTGTCCCTATTTAAGGAACATGATGGCCTCATTTTTGGCCACTATTTATAGTCTTCAACTCCCTCAAAACCTTAATTTCCATTTTCTTAGATTGAGTGGCCATTTGAAGCTTTTGAGTGTTCTTTATGGGATTATTTGAGTGAAGAAGGAGCTTTGAAGAGTTTAGAGTTGGAGTTCAAGCTTTGGATCTGAGTTTCCCTTTGGTTGGTGCATCATTTGGAGGTATCAAGCTCAAAGCTTTCTCATTGTTTTAATTTGTGCATATTGTGGTTCATTTTAGGGTTTATGTCCCAAAGCTTAAAACTTTATGAGTTTGTTGAAATCCAGAGTGTAACATCCACAAAAATCATGTCAAATTTGAACTTTTTCAAAACATTTCAAAACCATTAATTATTACAAAACTTGTTTTCAAAATATTATAACATCAGAGTATCCCATAAACAAGTCATAAACATGATGAGCTGTACGATTACGCCTTTGCCTTCCTGCGATCATCTGATGTACCTGAAACCAAAACTAAAACTG